TGAACACTTTGATGTTCAGAAGTGTTGCCCTGCAGCAGATGCATCGACTCCTATCACCAACCACTATCGTGTAAACTTCCAAACTCTTCGGCGTTGCCTGCAGAACTTATTTTTTAGTTTACATCCAGAAGTGAATCCATCACTCTGTCCTTGAACAGGTTTGAAAAACTGTGAAACTTTTCCAAAATAATTTTTCACTTCTTACCAAACAGGTTTCATCGGACCACCACATCAACCAAGCAAGTAACAATACTGTAATAATTAGTGACACAGTACAATACTTTAGTGACAGATATGACATCATCTCATCCACTCTGCATTATACAGAATTAACAACTAAACTGTACAACATCCAGAGCTGCAGGGTTTGGTTTCCAGCTCAAAGCTCAAAGGTGCAGTACCTGTACTTGACCAGTGTCGCAGCACTGGTGTGGAATGAAGCTCCTGCAGAGGTCAGTATTTTACTCATTTTTTTATTTATTATTGACACTGATTTAAGTAAAGGTTTAAATGGTTGATTTACTTTTATGTAAATAAAAAATATTTCCTTGATGTTTTTTTTCTCACTCCTAGTTTCTGTCCCTTTACCTTTAAACCAGGTATGTCCAACGTCTGGCTCAGGTGGTGATTGTGGCCGCTTCATGCTCCGTCCACCTGGTCCCTGATGGAGACTGACAGCTAATGTCCCCATAATGTAAGTAGGTGTCAAACAATAAGTCACGGTTCACTGTTGTTAACGTAGATCAGTGGTTTCATAGTCGGAGGAGTTCTGAGTAAAGTGGGCGTCAAACGTCTCTGCCTTAAATCGATGCAGCAGACAGAACAAATGCCACATTTACATTATGTTCTTCATGTTCTGGCGTTTATCAGCGCCTCATTAAAGTCCAGCCTCCCACATTTTAATGGCTGATAATGCATGTACCAGCCAGCAGCGTGTTTGTGTCTAATTGTACCACGAATCGACCTGAAGTACTCCAGATGAAGCGCTCCTGACACCGCTATAATAAGCCGCAGCACAATCAGTCTGATGGCGACTGAAATATTCAAAGACAAATATTTCATTAGCACGTTTCCGAGACGGCAGGTAGCCTATGTTCTGGTGAATTTACTGTCGTCTTTTTATAGCTCCTAAACGCTCATTATTAATGCGCAGCATGACTGAAGAGGCTGATGCAGGATTAAGACTCATTAGCAATCCTATTTTTTAATCTCGCCGTTTCTCAGCAAGGAGAAATTAATTCCCCTTTAGAAAACGATAATGAGGTGTTTTATTCCGCTAATTTAATTTTTGTTTTTCATCCTCTCGGGTTAATTTTGTGGCATTTCAGATCGTCTGAAACCACAGCAGCTCAGGCTGCACACGCTCTGACCTCAGCTCTGGTCCCAGCCACTGTGAAGGCGATCATTTGACATTGTCTGGCTCAGGTCCGTGTGTGTGTGTGTGTGTGTGTGTGTTTTCCCTTCAGGCCGGCGTCAGTTTTATTCTAACGGTTATCTGTCATGAGGCCTCGCGGCTCAGCCTGGCGGCTCAGCAGAGCCTCTGCTGCACATTCTCCTCCCGCCTGTTGCCTAGTGATAGCCGGTCTCTGGCCCCGTCCTCAGAGCTCAGTGTGAGCGATGTTGTGAGGAAGCAGCGAAGGGCTGCACTTCCTCACATGAATGGACATGTGGGGGAGTTTCCACTCTGGTTGGCAAGGTTACACTGTGTGTCTGTTTGTTCCCGGCCTGCACTCGTGTGTTGTATAAGCAGCAGATCGGCTCTGGGGACCAGATAGTAATCAACTTCTCTTTATTTTCGAACACTTCGTCGACTCGTCTCGCCTGGAGGCAGATATGACAGCGATCTGTTATATGGAGTCATTCATCAGTGTCTTGTGAATAAAGGTCAAAGCACCTGAGGTCAGGTGTTTGTTAAAGGTCCCTGGTTAAAAACCAAAGTTAAATATGTATATACCATACACACAGGGGTCTGACTTTTTTGTTTGTTTGTTGAAACCATTCCTTCTGGTCATAAGTGGTACTGCACTGTTGCTGAAAGAAAACCAAATTCATACCAGCAGCCATGGTACAAAAACACAACTCTCTTTAGCTGTTGTCGTTGACACTTCTATATTATTTTCTGTTTATATGGTTCCATCCATCAAGGTTAGCAAATCAAAATGAGCTTTTCCTCCTTGGAGTTCTGTGTGTTCCAACTATTGGTCTTTTTTTATAAAGCTTCACTTTAATTTATAAATAATTCAATCATGAAAAATTAAGAAAAAAACACAAACAAAACAAAAACTCTACTTCCTGTGAACCGTTGAAGGGCTAGCAATCCAGTCGTTTTTCTGTAAAGGCAGCGGTCGTCAGCGCTGCTCTGCTGTTAAGGTAGAAATATTAGGACATTAATATGTAAATCCCATTTGCTTCACTGTGCTGAGGTCATCAGCGGTCAAGGATGTATATCAGTGTTCCATCATATTAACCAGTAAAAGAACAAATGTGTGAGAAGATAAAACTGACTGTTGAACTAGTCGGATTTTTATATGTATTTTTTTTCTTGTAAAACAGTAACAAACCTCTTCACTGCAGTCTTTAACAAACTTCATTTGATAACTTGATGAATCATCTTAGTCCCTGCTGTAATTAGCCATCAATCTCCTTCACTACCTGGATGCCTCTGCACTTGATGAATTATTGTCCCTCCTTCTTCTTGCAGTGCTCAAATGAACCCCGGCTGCCGTCGCCTTCAGCTCCGAGTCGCCCCGGGACGGGACAACACAACAGTGTCCACCAGTGACGGATGCTGCGTCGCTGACGGTATGGGAAGTATGGGAAGCACTGATGGCTTTTGGATGTGAAGATAAAAAAGATGGAGGGATGCTCCCACACCTCGCTTCATATCCCTCCATCTCTTTGTTGGGTAATCCTGCCCTACAGCGCCGCCGCTCTTCTGACTGCCAGGACGTTCTCAAAGGGCCGCGGCGTTAGAAGTGCTGCATTTCACGTCTCCGCCTAATCCTGTTTGGACCTTTGTTGTAGCCCGAGTAGTGATAAAGGAGATCATAATCACCACAGCCTGATGTCAGAGGATAAGGATGAATGGAGGCTACAGTACACACACACAGACACACACAGACACACACAGACACACACAGACACAAACAGACACAAACACAGACACAGACACAGAGTTCTGTACAGCTATTTCTGTCAGGACACTGCATTAACGTCCAAGCTGCTGGACAACCTTCAGCCAAACCTTATCTCAAAGGTTAAGGAAAAGCTTTAACAGCCTCACCTTAATCTTTACCAAACCAACATCACATCCTACCTTGGTATCCTCACCAAGGCTTCAGGAACAAGGGTAAGTTCTGATCCCACGAGGACCAGAGGTTCTGGAAAAACAGAGGCCTCAGGGATTTTACTGGAGAACGTCACATGACATGGTGTTTATGGAAAAAAACTCTGAATGTGTATATATATATATATATGTATTTATATATATATATATATATATATATATATATATATAAAATCTTAGCTGCACTGTTTCATCTCACCATCGGTTTCCTGGCTTTCGTTGAAGACCCCCGCTCTAGACCGTTTCGTTACCATCTCTATTGACTGTTATTTTTGATGTGGTGTTATTGGAAATCGCTGGTGTTTTGGGGCAGTTCCTGTTGGTATTTTGGCTCCTTTTTTTTATTGTTTTCCTTCTAGTTTATTTTTTCATGAGAGTTTTATTGACATCATAAATCAAGTGGTAAACAGCCTTGTTTTTTTTCCTGCTTTATACCAGATTATTTTCTGCTCTAAACTGCAGCAGGTTGATCCGGCAGCTGAAGCTGGTATCAGCCAATAATGCGAAACACATTCTGTGCATTAAAGAGTGGAGGTCAGCAGGTTCATGCAATTTCTCAAAGTTTGTATTTGACAAGTCTGACCTTATTCTCCTTTCCACTTGTCTTACAGTTAAAAAGTCAGCAGTTCTTCAAAGTTCCTGGATTGAAATGGCAGCTTCGTCAGAGACACGGGGGGAAATGTGAGTGGATTCATCACTCCTGCGTTTGATCACAGCTCAGCAGCCAACGAAATCACATCCTGGGTTTCCTAATGAGACGTGTCAGAGCCATTCTCCAGGACAATAATCCTGCATGAGAGAGCCGGAAGCTGGAATATCCATTCACCTTCTCTTTCCTCTTTTGTCAAACCAGGCATGGGTAATAAGACCCAGGTGAGCATGCAGCAAATCACATCAGATCAGGCTCTTTGTTCCTGATGGGATTCATGCTCCACTGACACTCAGGCAGTAACAAGAAGCTGACAACAGGAAATACAGCTGCAGTGGGACGGAGCCCCCTCAGGTCACATGGTACGTCACACTAAATATCATCATGCTATTGACCAATACAGTACCATAAAATATATATAAACATTATCTACTGTAGATATAGGGACACGTCCCCACTGGTTTTTCCTTTTGGTCTATTTATAACAGCCAATCTCAAACAGTGGTGCGCAGACCACTGAGAGTCCCTAAAGCCCCCTCAGCGGTCTGTGAGTCCTAAATATTTAGATCATTTGCGCCATTTTCCCTTAAATTAAAAGAGTTTCTCACACTTCATAAGCGACACCAAAGCCAATCAGATTAGTGTAACGTTGGATTTTGAAAATGTCTACTAGCGGAGAAATGCAGCTGCGTGATTTAACGTCTCATGTCTCTGACACAGATGGCAAAACGCTTCGTCCTGGTGCAGAGGATTCAGGTGCCTCCAGTGGTCCGACTGCAACAACAAGTGTTAGCATTATTGCAGCCTCCAGGTTGGAGTTGACTTCTCTCTTGAAGTGGCCTTAACCACATGGACCAGTTCATTACAGGTATTAACTCTACATTTATCAGCTCACTGGTCTGCCTTTCATAGTGAGACTCAGTTGAGTCTCGCTGCAAATGAACTGTAATGGCAACTCAGAACCTCTGAAATAATCACTAATGGCAGAACGTTGGTCTAACTGCCTCCATTAACAGGTTGTTTAACGCTGCACTTATTTAACTGCCTCCATTAACAGGTTGTTTAATGTGCACGCTGCACTTATGCCTCCTGAAGTGTAATCACAACTACATTTAAAGAAACTGGACTCCAATCTACTCCCATGATGGACAGTTGACTGTTACAAATTATTAGAAACTGATTTTTTTTTAGTCAAAGTTTTTTTTTCCTTAAATTTATTCATATCAAGAACCAAACTCTTTATAGCAACAGGAGCAGCGCAGAGGTGTAAAAAATGAATACAAATTGCACATAATTTGTTAAAGCAAATCCATTTTTTTTAATATTCAATAACAAAACATTTAAAAAAGAAACAGCAAAAGTGAAATAACATTTTTAGATTAAAGAAAATACAAAATATTTTAGAGAAGTAAAGATATGTGTTTGTTTCCTCATCACTTAGCGTTAGCACTAGCACTACTGCAACTTTAGCTCTAGTGTTAGCATCAGTTACAGAGCGGTTACTGCTATTAATTACTTCTCTATCATTGAAGTAAATAATTCAATTATTATTATTGTTCTGAAAGCCAGCATATATCTTTTTAATCTTCCTTTCTTTATTTTATTTTGTTTTAGAAAACGTTTTACCAATGCTTAAGGATGTTCACAGTTTCACTTTGTTTGAAGTGATAATAAGCTAACCCTGTGGCAGTAAATCAGGACAAACCTCTACAGTAATTGGTGATTATTTCGTTACACTTTTGGATTGTTTTGCACATTAATCACTTAACAGTGAAATACGCTCCCCCTCAGTTCAAGTCAACATCCTTAATGTGTTTATTTCTTTTTTTTTTTTAGCCAATGTGTGAACCTCAAAGGTAAAAACGATCTGATGTATTTTGGGAAACTCGACCTCTGCCCTCAGAGCTCGTTGTTTTATCGATGTGTTGTTTTATTACACTGTGGTATTTTTGATGAGTTTTTTGTATTTGTGAGTTTCTTTTTATTCTCTTGGGGCAATTCTATTCTAGAAAAGACAACACACACACACACACACACCAGGAAAGGTAAAAGTGTAAGATGGACAAAAACAAAACGAATCAGATATTGACTTTACCTGTGATTTAAAAGAAGAGAAGGAAAAACAAATCAATAAGAAGGCCAAAAGGTACAAGTCAGAGTTAATACCTAATTAAGTGTATATATTTATTTATATATATATATATAAAAGGAGATTACTCATTCTCCCAGAAAAGTCCATCTGAGTTCATTAACCCCTGACCCTTCATCTAAGCACATGACAAATGTAAGAGGTTGGTGGGGGTTTGGAGGATTTAGTGACATCATCACCCGGACCGTCAAAGGCGATCGAAGCAACAACCGTATTAAGATAAGAAGCACAAACGGATTTAAAGTAATGGAGATCTATGGAAAGTTTTTCGTTGACGTTGATCTGGGATTATTCTAGTTTAAGAAATAAATATAAATATAATTTAAATTTTTAATTTTTTAATTTTAATCCTGTAGGTTGACAGTACTATCTGACCTCTACTGTACTTCAACCTGGAAAGTATTTACTCAGAATGGATGTGGTTGATAAAAGTTTAACACATTTTGTGAATCACTATTGTCAAGAATATTTACAGTAATAGGGTTTCAGCATATGGTGTGTGTTTTTTTTAATGTCAGTAGATGATAACAACAACATTTACAAATAGCAGAAAGACGTGTAACTGAAGCAGTTGATTTTGTTAATAATAATATTATTTGTTTAGTATTGTATTATATTGTATTATTATTATTATTATTATTATTATTATTATTATTATTATTATTATTATTATTATTATTATTATTATTATTATTATTATTATTATTATTATTATTATTATTATTATTATTATTATTATTATTATTATTATTATTATTATTATTATTATTATTATTATTATTATTATTATTATTATTGGTTTATGAAATAATTTATGAAGTCTGTCTTACCAACCAAAAAACTGCAGTATCTGTGCCCAACCTCCAGGGGGTCGTGGACCAAATGTTACTGGCTTTAATTGACCCGTTAAATAAAAAGGCTTGGATTAATCATCCAATCACAACTAAGAGTTCTGCTGCGACGTTGACCGTACAGCAGTTCAACTGATCTGAGATCTGTGCGTTTCAGGAGTGACAGTGTGCTTTCTTCCTGTGGAGGATTAAAGAAGGAGCTCTGAGCTTCATGCTCCACCAGAGCCCACCTGCAGCACTGCTGTGTGTAGGTGGTGAGAGCGAGGCCGGGGGAGGATGCCAGCACACGCTGCTGAGGGAAGGGCACAAACGCTGACTCTCCAGCACCACCTGTCTCACTTGGGTAAGTGATGAGCACAAGGTGTGCTACGCTGTGCGCTCTCATTCATCTGCACCATGAGATGAGTAAGCAAATATACTGGCGCTGTCCTCCGGCGCTAATTACACAGTCGATTTTCCGCAACAGAAGACACAGTATGTGAAGTTTTTAGAAACAGATTTATAAGGTTCGCATGAATATGGAACAGAAAGTATTAACTGTTGTGATGTCGGAGAAATGCAGCAGCGTCCTCACATTTTTCTTGTTTAAGCAGCTGTGTATTTGTGTGTGTGTGTGTGTGTGTGTGTGTGTGTTGTGGGTACTTTCTTCACGCTGCCTGCCTCCGCCCACTGTGGCTTGGCGGGGAGATGATGCTGCCAACTGCTCTCCTACTGCAGAGGGCCACGTGCAGATCTCCAGCCTGACAAACCCGTCTGGAGCAGAGGTAGAACTCGGCCCACGGTGGGAAAGGAAAACCAAATGATTCCCCAGAGACTCCGACTTCATGGTGACTCCTCATGTGTTCCAAAGTCAAATCAGCCAACCAGCCTTCGAGAATTCCAAGACAGGGAGTGTCACCAGCTGACCGTCATATTATATTGATATAAATTAAATTAGTCAAAAAGTTCTGATTTGATGTGCTATTCTGTGTTAAGACACATCTGTTGACATGTGAAGTCATGAGCTGCGTTAAGATTCATCAGCATTTGTAACCCTGCAACCCCCCTCCCCCCCAAAAAAAATCTCTCGATTCTAACCAAACTTGAATCAAAATCTGTGGAAAATATCACATCCTTGCAGCAGGGTTTGATCTGGATCCATCTAAATACTTGTTCTTTTCCCAAAACTGAATGGACGTTTGAAAGGAAGTGTACTTTTAGTTCTCAGACGAGGCAAAGAAGCAGGTGACCTGGTGTAATAGGGGCTGTGTTTGTAGGAGGGCGCTATTTTGGTCGATTTTTCTTTTGCTTCTTTAAGAAAGGACCAAAATGTTAGGCTTCAGAAACTTCTGCTTTTAAGGTGGTAAAAGTGGTAACCCTGGTGATACTGGTCAGGATATCAGATCTGTTCAGGTTTATAAAAAAAATGTTCTCAGAAGCTACTGTATGTATTTTTAAATTATTTAAACAGTTCATGTCTTTTTGTAGCTGTTTTTTCTAAGTCACGCTCTCATTCATCAGTTATTGACTTTGTTGTCATTACAGGTGTTGGTCAATACCAGCAGCAGGATATGATCGCATGGGAAGAGAAGGGTTCCAGTTGGAACTGTGATGGAGGGAAATTCTAGAGAGTCACTCAAGTGCTGATTTAAACAGGTAAAAAGGACATAGCTAAGTATTTTAAG